CTTTAACCGGTTCTGTGACTGTTGAATGAACAGTGGAGGATTATATGATAGTTTCTTAATTGCCTTCCAGCAAGTTGGATAGGACCATTTCCATGAACATAATATTAACAGTGCTGCATGATTGGCTCTTGATGAAGTTCACTCTGCCTAACAGATTCTCAGGATCAAAAATCATAGAAAGATTTTTAGAAAATAATTTTAAAATTTCCCATTACCAAAGAAATAGGATTCTTGTATAAATAAATAGGTAAATAAATAAATAAATAAATAAATAAATAAATAAATAAATAAATAAATGTGTCTTTGAAACTCCCCAAATATATCTACAGTTGTGGGAAGAAATCTTTCCAAGCTCAAATTCTCTAGTTTCTATGCAATTATAAACTTTGCAAGGTTGACTTGAACATTCTAAACAGTAGCATTAGAAGTAGTATCTTTAAGAAATATTCTTAATTACATAACTACCATTATTCATTGACAAGTGATTTATCAGAGACCTATTGCATTCCAGGTGACAGATTGGTTCTATGTGAGAATACAAATATAAATTAGATAGTTTCTGCTTTAATTGGGAAATATTCTTAGCTTAACTTATGTAGCACATCAGTCTTACATTTAAAGAATTCTGGGAAGCATTGGAAAATCATGACTGATGATATTAGAAACACAATGAAACAATTAGTCAAACCTCATATTTACAAAGCACTGTGCTAGTTTGGTTCTTAAAAGGACTGGATTTTCATCTCAACTGCTAACAATGAAAACACAGATTCCCAGACTCTGAAGAAAGACACAAAGGCCCACAAGAATATAATTTAGAACTGATTGTTGAACAAAGAGAATGTAGGTATACCAGAATGCACAATCAAGATAGTGTGATAAAATTCCATACTTAGCTAGATGACAACTGGCTAATTATTTTATGACATCATATTATAGTGAAACTAAAACACATCTTGGAGGCAGAGAGGAAGAGTTAGAATTCTGCCTCAGTTTCTGTGAACCCAGTTCCCAAATATACAAAATTCTCATGATAGTGATCATAACACCTTCTAAGGGTGTGATAAAGATGAAATGTCATATGGAATGAATGTAGTATCTTGTCTGGCATAAAACTAGAGCTTAAATATATAATAATTATTTTTTGCTCATTCTACCTTGGTTCAAAAAACCATCTACTACAAGCTATTGTACACAATACATGCCATTGAATTTCTTCACTTTCTATTTCCATTCCATACTCTGGTTCCATCACCTCTTATAAGACTCTTTCTAATTTTTGCCACGTCTCACTTATTTCCCATATAAGAGCCTGTGTGGTTTTTAATATAATTCAGTCATATCTTTCCTTACTTCAAGGCTTTGAGGGTGTGTCAGTATTTATGGGGTACAAGACAAACTCCTTACTGCAGCCTACATTCATGTCAGAGCTAAATTTAGTATCAAAGAAAAAAACTCAGGGTCCGAAAATATAAGGAAAATGCTCTTATGTTCTCATTTTTTGCAGAGCTTCCTTAACAAAGTACTACATGATAGTAGCTTAAACAACAGAGATAAGTTTTTTTTTTTTTTTTTTTTTTTACAGATCTGAGCTATCAGGACATCAGTAAGCTTGGTTTGTTGGCCTAGAGAAGGAGTCTCCTCTGTGTCTGTATATAGATCTCTCTCAGTGCATTTCTGTGTTTTAATCTCTTCTTTTGGTAAAGCCATCAATCACTCATATTGGATTGAGTACCATTAAAAGGATCTCATTTTAATGCAATTACATTTTTAGAGCATCATCTCTAAAAATAGTCATTAGAAGGTACTGCGAATTAGGAATTCAACATGTAAATGTGAGGGAAATATAATGTAGTCCACAGCAATCTTCTTTTCCATCTCTGGGTCATTTGCTGTCATTCTGCAAGTCCCATTGCTTATTGTTTAAACAGTATTCACTGTAGCATATGTTATAAACGTGCTACTTAAAAGATACCATTAAAAAATGGGGGCTCGGTAGTAGGTGAATGCTCTGTCCATGGTACCCAGGTCTTATTTCTCTTTGTGGCTTCAATTTCTTATCAATGTCCTCTTTTGCTTTGTCTCACTGGTCTCTTTTCTTGTCCTGGAAAACAGGAAGATCTATTCCCATTGTCACCCTTTGTCACATGCCGTTGTTCCAGCTCTTCCATTTCACATATATGTTCCAGACTAGTTTGAAAGTCATGCTCTGAGGAAGCAGTGATGAACATAACCCTGAAATTGCTTTTGCAGCCTCTTCTTTTCCTACCTGCATGCACTCCATTTTGAAATAATATCTGTCATTTCATTTGTTTCTTTGCTGTTTATTTTCTGACTCTTCTAGTATTATGGTGACTACTTGAGGCAGGAACTCCTCTAGAAACTGACATGTAGCTGGTGCTCATGTAAATATTTATTGAATGGATGTCCTAAAAAATCCCTTTACTAGTCAGGTGCATTTAGAATCTCACTCAATCTTGAAGTGCAGTGTAATCTTATAAGCAAATGCAAGATAATGTAATACACAAAGACTGAGATTATAATTCTGAACATAGTACAGTATTTTGGAACTATTGCAAAAGTAGTAGAATTTAGGTAGATAAGAATTTTGGAAAGTATTTTGTCATCATGGGATATTATAGCCACAGAATTAGCATAGGCTCACACAGTTTACAGTATATTAATAAGAAAAAATATTGTTCCCATGCTTCTTCTGCACATCCTCATCACACTCATGCTCTTGACACACCTATAGTATCAGTATTTCAGTGAAAACCATTGTGAATATATATAAAAATGGCTTTAGTGGATGTTGGTAAACAACAGTAAATTGGGCAGTTTGATTTTGGAACTTTCTAGAAAACTGCAAATCCTTGGGTCCAACCTTGTTCCTACTAAGTGAACAGATCTGAAGATTTGCTCAAGAGTGTTACTTAAACAATTTATCCAGGTCATTCTACTATAACTTTTGAGCAACACTATATTAAATCTGTCTTCAAAATAATTTTTGCTTTACCAAGAATCTGGTAAAATAGCTTATTTGTTAGGACACTATCAACCCTAGTTGTTTACATAAGCTTATCTCCCTGAGCCCTCACTGGTAATGACAGCATTTCTGCTTTCTGATACCTTTCGAATTGTTGCTAAGGAAATGGCAGTGGTTTCCAGCCATTTTTTGTAAAATTTCTGTCTCCTAGAGTTCAAAAAGTTAAGAAGTATTTGCTTCCTGAATTACTTATTTCTGGACAAATTTGGTTTTAATGAGCTTATTATTACCATTTGTTGTTGATTCTAGTTTCTCATTCAACCCCAAATTTGATTAACTTCTACCCTTTGAAAGAGGTGCATTTATACGTTGTAAAAACAAAAGCTTATGCTATAATTTTGTTCTTATTATGTTTCCAAAATCCATGTTTCTTAGGACACTTATTCCACAAATACTTTCTCATTCTTCCTCATTGTGTCCATCTTTGAGTGGCCCAGTAATCAGGGAGAAATGTTTAAATTCATTTCCTTGAGGCCGAATTCAGACTTAGAGACTTAAGTGACACCAATTGCACTTTGCCATTTTTGACATAAATCCAATTTCCCAACCTTCATCCAAGTGATATTCTATTTTAATAGCACATGCTATTGTATCCAGTTATAGAGTATGTAGCCTAAGACCATATTTATATATATATAATTTTGGGGGGGTTCTTTTCGAGACAGGTTTCTCTGTAGCTTTGGAGGCTGTCTTCGAGCTCGAGCTCGCTGAGTAGACCAGGCTGGCCTTGAACTCACAGAGATCTGCCACTCTGTGCCTCCTGAGTGCTGGGATTAAAGGCGTGCCCACTACCTCCTGGCTCAATTTTTATATTTTTATGAGTGGTAAAATGCTGAATTACCTATGAAAACTACTGTCACAACTGAACACATTATGAAGATATTATGTCCTTAGAAAGTGATTTACAGCTAATACATTTAATACTTGTTAAAATCTTTGCATTTGAAGATGTATTACTGGACTAAAGTTGTTCAACTAGGAAGGGTTATGAGTTAACTCTGAACTATGAAAATTGCCAGCTTTAAAGCATATTGCTAAACCTGGAGAGTGTCAGTATTTTTTTGCCTGTTTTCTGTTTCAACAATACTGGCATAATGCCCCTACCTTTCCCTCTGGTCTAAACGTTCACTTACTTGCTTACTCATGATCAAGATTCATTTGGACAGTGGAGAATCTCAGTAGCAGCTGAGGGAAACTAACACGGAATGAGCTTTTTCATGAAGGAGCCACTGTGCTCAGCATTCCATTTGATTGCTATAAAAATTCTGTGAGACAGGTGTGGGTGCTGCAATCAAGCAAGCGGTTAAGTAACTTGCTGAAGATCACACAGCCAACAGGTGGTAAAGCATGAATGGTTGTAACTGACAGAATACCTTGTCTTGGATCCCAATCACCAGTGGATGGTATTCCTATTGTTAAAGGCGACAGTAATTGTTTTGGAAATTGTTTACAAGTATCCTCAACTCCCCAAAGACCCACTCCTTTCAGCTTCAGTCCTCTTCACTCCTGCACCCTGCTGCTTTGTCCTCTGAATAGCTCACTTCTTTTTAGAGACTTCTTTTTAGAGGCCAATCAGATGATGGACTCAAAAGAAAAAAAAAATAAATACCACTAAGGCTAAAAGCTTGTGTATGCCTGCATTGCCTGTTATCACAGTGGCCAGGGATGGTGAATCTTTGTAGAAACAGGTTCTTGGTAAGTAATTGGTGTGTCCATTTGCCTGCTTAGCAAACACTGCTTTCTTTCTCTGTTTTTTACTTTTGGCTTGATTTGGATGTACCCTAAACTGAACTTTACACTTTTCTTTTTGAGAGATTCGTTATCTCACTGAAAGTTTAAGATGCATGTAAAAACATGACATTTCATATCTGTGTTCATTTATTAATTCTCTACTCCTCTAAGGCTGTAATGTTGGTAATTATTTTTTCATACCTATTTACTTCATACTTACTAGGTCCTGTTACAGAAGTGAAAACTGACATATATGTCACCAGTTTTGGACCTGTTTCTGATGTTGAAATGGTAGGTATCTGAGAAACTTCAGAGGTTTGAAGAAAATAAGCCAGAAATAAGTCAATTATTATTTATTATACCATCAATCACACAAAGCCAATGATTGATTAAACTTAGAAGACTCCAAAGAGCACAATATTCCATTTGTATCCAAGAGCTATCATTAGTATTTATTGACTTGGAATCTTTCTCAGCAGAGAGGTCTTTCCTGTACTACTCCCACAGCAAGGCCTTCTAAGGAAACTACTGAGGAGAAGGAAATGAGTGAATTAATGGGTGTACATGACATTATATTTCTAACAGCCTTTTTGTTTCCTCACTGGCTCAGTTGCTTGCTTCCCACTCTTTGATTCTACCCTTCCCTCTCATGCATAAGGAGGTCAGGAGGGCCAACATTTGCCAGGAAGTCTTCATGCCTTCAGCTATGCTCTCCTATATTAAATACACTTGATAAACATAATGAAGACTCTACAGTTTTCTTGACATGAGACTCCTAATGGTTTGAAGCCCTGGGTTCTTTAGGTAATTTTTAACACACTTTTGAAAACAAAATTTGTCTTTTTAAAAAAATTGGCTTCATCTTAAAGAAATGCCTATAATTTATGATCAATTATGTAGTGATACATGTTACATATTAACTGATATTGCTCTTTTATATAAAGTAATGTACAGCCAAAATTACCTGGTGTTGGCAGCTTTTATTTAGTTACAGTAATTAGTTACAGTAATTAGTCCTCAGTGACTAACGAATATGGTGATTTACTTCTCAGTAAGGCAGAAGCTCAAGGGGGTCAAGATGGACTTTGCAGTGCATATTTGCTCTGAATCACTTTATTCTGTGGATTTAAGATCATCTCTGCTTCCATTAATTTCCATTGGTGTAGTCTTTTATGATTGGGTGAGGTTAGAACTTAATCCTTTTTGCATATATATGGATTTGGTCACCTATGATTTGACTATGTCACAAACCAACTTCCCCAGGAATATACAATGGATGTGTTCTTCAGACAGACGTGGATTGACAAAAGACTAAAATATGATGGACCCATTGAAATTTTGAGGTTGAACAATATGATGGTCACCAAAGTTTGGACCCCTGATACTTTCTTCAGGAATGGAAAGAAATCTGTCTCACATAACATGACAGCTCCAAATAAGCTTTTTAGAATTATGAGAAATGGCACTATTTTATACACAATGAGGTAATGGAGTTTTCTTTCTCTTTTTAAAATTCCTTATTCACAATGTCTCTCTTCTCCACTTTCCCCCTCCTTCTCCTCCTCCTTGCTTTCTATCTCTCCATCATAATTGGTAATATTGTTTAAAAGGGGGTTAATTTTACTTACTTGCATTTTTCCATGATAGACTCACCATCAGTGCGGAGTGTCCCATGAGACTGGTGGATTTCCCTATGGATGGTCATGCCTGCCCTTTGAAATTTGGGAGTTGTAAGTGACATTAAAAGTATTGTTCAAATTTCTGATTATCTTCTTCAAGCTCATAATTATATATTTGTACAATTTCAGTTATCTAGCATTTAAACCCTTATCTTTGAGAAAAAAATGTGCCAGTTTTAATTATTTAAATTATTACTTTTTAAAGGACAATGTGATACCCCAAACAAAGTCCCATTTTTACTGATGGCTATAGAAGACTGAGTAATAAAAAATAAGCCCACGGACACTTGTGCAGCTTAGAGATTTAGAAATAGTTGGTCTGTATCAGAGGTGCCACATAGAAAGTGCACTGTGAAGGGGGTATGGTTTAACAATTTCAGCAGAAATGCTTTAAAGGTGGCTTGGGAAAAGGTAAAAAATATTTCCTGAAATAACTCTAGTTAAAATATCACGGTTAGTGATAACAGCTGAACTGTCATAAGTGTTTAGTTGAGGTGGGGTATGAGAGAATTTAGTGACCAACCTATTGCTGGCTACAATAAGGAGTGTAATTCCATTGGAAAGCTAGGGAAGGTATTGAAAGTTTTAACACAGGGACATGGCCTTGTTTGACATCTTTTTTCTGTGGAAATGGGCAGAAGAGAGGCTGGAGTGGAAGCATGGAAGAGCTGGTGCCTGCTGTTTTCAAGCAATCAAAGATGGCAGTTGGTTAGACTAGCCCACACGAAAGGAGCAAATGTGAAATAGACATGTTTGGAAAATTTAGCAGAGATGAAGGCAAGAGGAACACATGAGTGGGTAGTAAAGGATGTGAGGCTCCTCTCTTCAGGCTCCTTTCTCTGAGATGGCAACAAAATGTGATTGCTCTTGTGAGGTCTGCTTCCAACATTCAATTCAATCAGAATCTCCCAAAAATAGATGTTGGCTTTTACTATTGCTTCAGACTCTTCGTTTCACTGATTGTGAAACCAGTGCCTGCTGTTCTCATTGCTCATTGCTTGACTTAATGAGAATCGGCAGTCACCATTCTTTTTATAACCCTCATAATCACAATACTCAGTGGGCTAACTTGAGATTAGAGAAAGTCATTCTCTCCCTGACCAACGATTTAATAAGACAAGATACAAACAAAATAATACACAGAAGAATACTGGGGCAGAGTTAAAATTACATTTTTACTGCAATAATTTGAATTTTATAAAAGATAGTTTTCATCTGAGAAAGTCTTCTCTTCCTAAGACCTCTCTGGCTCTCCTTTGAAGCACTCTTAGAGTGACAAGAGCTAAGTTGCTGCTATCTCAGGCTTTATATGTGAATAAGGAACGACTCCAAAGAGAATGGGCACCAAAAAGCCAGTTCAAGCAGTTTGTGTTGGGGGGGGATGGGTAAGGTGGGAGGAGCAGGAGGACGGGAGGGAAAAAGAGAATGGGCACCAAAAAGCCAGTTCAAGCAGTTTGTGTTGGGGGGGATGGGTAAGGTGGGAGGAGCAGGAGGACGGGAGGGAGTGGGAACTGGGATTGGTATCTAAAATGAGAAAAGATTGTTTTAAAATTTAAAAAAAGGAATCACATTTTTGGAAAGTATTTTGGTTTACCTATACCATACTATACCAACAAGGAGCTTTTGCTGAGTAAATTAATTCTTATTATTTTTTGGAAATCAAAAATAACTATTAAATTATACTTAAAATAAGAACAATATGAAAGACAGTGCAAGAAATGTTTTTTTCTATTAACATAGGGTATCGAAGAGATGAATCTTCATGTTAAAAAATGACATGAATAAGAATATAGCATGCAAGAGTTTAAATATATAACACTGTGAATACAGTTTCAGAGATAAATGCTGACATGAAACTGTGTAATGTTGGATGATAACTCAAACCTACTAGTGTGTTTTCCAAGGTCATCTATAAGGAAAACCTCTCTGGGTATGGACTCCTTTAGTAGGATTAAACAAGTTCACCAGGGACCTCCTGCGTTCCAGACATTTTAGGGATATTTGTAGGGGAGGATGACACATAATTCATTCCGGTTCTTTTGAACTTATTTGTGCATGAGCCAAGCTATCTGTTCTGGGTAGAGTGGTAAGCAAGCAGCTGGTCTCCATTTGCAGTGAACAAGGAATAACAGAAAATGTACTCAAATTGCCACTGGGGAGGTTTCTTTGAAGATAGAAGGGAAAGTGTCCTAATTGCTAGCTTCTAAAGGTACTGGAACTGCTGTGTAATTCCCTGGTGAGCTTTGCAGACTACATAGGCATAGTCAGAATCCTGCAGAATGGTTTCCAAATGGCATGGGCATTGGCCAGAGGCAAAGTCTAAAGCAGGTGACCCCTGGATTGCTCCATCACATGGAGAATTTGCTTTAGTTATGTGTTACCAGAGGCAGCATCTGGTACATTTCTAGATGGAAGAGCTATATGGGATTGCTCAAGTAAGGATAGAAAAGAGGTGAAAGAATTAGGAGTCTCACAGCTGCTTAGGAGGTTTGGACTGTCTGCTTTTCAAGCTGCCTGCCTTGTTGGAATGGCAGTATGACCACCTGCACTGATACAAATGTACCTTTTTGTGTTTCAGTTTCATTCTTCACCCTGTTCCATCTTTTGAAATAAAAACAATAAAACCTATAATTTGTTTAGTATCTTGGTTTTCTAAGTTATGAACATGTTTAAAGTGACACAATGAGTATTGTTTCCCCTTTTATTGATGTTGAACATTTGTCCCATTAAATGTTGATTTTTAAGATTCACAAAAGAGGAGTCCTGACTGTAAGCATACTCTTTTCTCTTATTAAGATGCATATCCCAAGAGTGAGATGATCTATACCTGGACCAAAGGCCCTGAGAAGTCAGTGGAGGTGCCCAAGGAGTCTTCTAGCTTGGTTCAATATGACCTAATTGGGCAGACTGTATCAAGTGAAACTATCAAATCTATTACAGGTGAGATTGCATGCACATATCTCACTGCCCCCCCCCCCGTGTCTTTATAGGCGTGCTCTTTTTGTTCTCACACGTGTGTGTATGCATGTGTGCATGCAGACATGTGTGTGGGGACATGACCAGTCAAAGGGGGTCATTTTTCAGGGTCCATTCATCATATTCTTTGGTCTTTCACTGTCCTGGAGTTTGTTGAGAAAGCAAGGCAGTCAGGTCCTTGAGCCACAGGGTTCTCCAATCTCTGCTTCCTCCATTCTGAGATTACAAGCCTGGACTACTTCATGATGCTTTTTTTATTTTAATGTGGTTTCAACTTAGGTCTTTATGCTTTTATGGGAAGAACTTTACCAACTAAGATATCTCCCCAGCTTCCTCCCAGTGAGATTTTTAGTGGCAAAAGTCAATGTATTACTTGGCATCAGCAATGGAGTTTTGTCCTATCCTTTTCATTGAAATATTCAGTGTTTTCGGGGGATTCCCCACCCTCAGAAGTAGAGCTGATATATTTATAACTTTACTTCAGTTTAAAATAAATTCTGAGTTCTTGAGACAGGAGAAATGAATAGACTTTTCTTACATAGAAACAAAAGCCAATAATTAAATATATTAAAAACTTTTTCAACAAAATATGAAGAAAAATTCTGGCCCCTATTTTGTGGTGCTTTTCAAAAGTTTTAATATTACCCAATTTTGTGGTGTCATTTCTGCTCTTTGTTCCAAAGTGAAAGCAAAATCTAAAGCATGCCTGCAAAGTATATTTAGAGTATACATTAAAATTGCCATACAAATGGATGGGTAGCTATACTGGTGATTCTTGGATTTTGAAATATGAATAGAAATAATCTTACGATTTAGCTTCTATCACATCTAATGAGAAAATTGGTCACTTATAGCTCATTCCAAAATGGTGTCTCTTCCATACACATTTTTATCAAGAATACATTAATGATATTTATCTTAGTGCACTTTTACTGCTATACCAAAATATCATGAATTGGGTATTTATATAAAGAACAGACTTGCTTTTCGAGCCTGAGATCTGGATCAACCTTAGGGTGTCAGCAGACTCAGTATTTGCTGAGAACTTGGTACCTGGTGCATGGAATAGTCCTGTCTCTAAGAGTCCTCACATTGGGACACACACCTACAGGGAAGGATTTCCAAGGTAGATTGTTTTATACAAATGCTAATGCTTGCCTTGCCTACTCCACCTTCATATACTAATCACCTATCAAAGACCAGTCCCTAATATTACTACATGGGAGGTTATGTTTCAATATGTGACTCCCCACTACTATTTTTGATACAGGATCTCATATAGCCCAGGATGACTTGATGCTTGCTATGTAGCCCAGGATAGCCTTACAATGGAATGTATTCATCCTCATCCTCCAGAGTGCTGGAATTGGAAGTGTGCCATTGTGCCAGGCACAGTGTGTGGTTGTTTTTTCTTTTGTTTTTTTTGTTGGAAGTGTGCCATTGTGCCAGGCACAGTGTGTGGTTGTTTTTTCTTTTTTTTTTTTTTGTTTTTTTTTAAAACGGTATTTAGACAAAGTTAAAATATAGTCAGCAGTTACTGTCTCACAGGGATCATTCACAATTCCTTTCTTGTATTGACTTCTCATAAAAACACTATGGAGATGGTATTGTTACCATCTTTATTTTTCTAATGAGGAGTATGTAAATATAATGTACTTAAGTAACTTGCCTAGCTCATGCAGCTATTAAATGTCAAGGCCCAAATTCATAGACACTCTGAGTTCTGTAAACATTCTTAACAGGCCCTGGATGTCACTGTATTAGGAAAGCAAACAAAACAAAAATCGGAATAGTTATTGCAAGATCTTGAACAATGGAGTGAAATGAGGAAGAGTGCTTTTTGTTGTTTTAAGGAATGTATTGATAATGCACTGATCTGAAGAGGAATGATGCTTTCCAGACTTTGGCAGGGATTAAGGAGAGATACTAATTCCTAGGCCCATAGCTCACAATTTCAGCATTGCAAAATACGTAATCCCAGGGAGTTACTGACCACCTGTTGTATGCTGTTGACAGTTTGCAAAGAGGATGGATTTCAGATGTTTCTATCACAAAAATACAATAAGCAAGATGTTGCCAAGAAGCTTGTGGGTGATGGATCTTCTATGACAGGCTGTGGCCTGCCACTTTTCTTGATGAATATGTAACCTCCAAACTAGTCAAATAGTGTATACATTAAATATGGGCAGGATTTTAAACATGCTTTATACCTCAAAAAGTGATTTAATAATGAGAAGCAAGTGACAAGAAGTGAGAAGACTTTAATTCTTAAAAGTTGACATCAAATCACGAGAGTGTTCATTGTGAAATATTTTAGTCTCCTCATTTGAAACTGCTTTGTATAAATCCAAACACCTTGTTATGAAATTGCTGGCACTGTTTCTCTCCCCCAAACTCTGATGTATTTTTTAAGCTTTCATTTTTGAGGTCATAATTAAAACGTTTCTCCTATGCCTTTTCTCCCTCCAAAACCCTCCATATACCTGTTCACATTCTTCAAATTTAGGGCCTCTTTTTTCACTAATTGCTATTCCATGCATTTATGTACATATAGATATGTTTATTCCTAAATACAGCATGTTTAGTTGATAGTGTGTGTGTGTGTGTGTGTGTGTGTGTATGTGTATGTGTGTGTGTTCAGGACTGACTATTTGACAGGGCCAACTAATTGGCTTGCTCTTCCATGGGGAGAAGCACCTCTCTCATTCTTAGCTTTCCTCAGTCACCTATGTAGTGAAGCAGAGATTCACAGCTAAGTACTGAGCTGAACTCCTGGAATCCAGTTATATAGAGGGAGGAGTGATGAGCAAAGGGGTCAAGATCATGTTGGGGAAACCCACAGAAACAGCTGACCTTTGCAAGTGGGAGCTCATGGAGCAGTGTAAATTCTGCTTTTAAAACTTCTGACAATTGTGTTTGGATAGGTTGCTCGGTGGGTGATGTGCTCACTGTGGAAGCATAAGAACCTGAGTTCAGATCCCTAGGACCCATCAAAACTGGCTAGTTGTGATGTCATGTGCCTGCAATCTTAGCACTGTGTAAGCAGAGACAGAAAGATCCTGAGGGTTTGTTGGCCAACTAGTCTTAAGAATTGTTTATCTCGAGGTTTATCTCAGGTAGATGAATGGATGGATGGACAGACAGACAGACAGACAGATAGGAAAGAACAGAATAAGTCACACAATGTCCAGCATTGATCTCTGGCTTCCACATGAAAGTGAACATACAGTGTGTGCACACACATGAACATGTACATATTCATACACTACACATATATGCAAATACTGAAAATGAAAGCTAATTGTTTAGCATATTTGACATTTAAAACAAAAAACACTCATTTCTTGAAGTCATAGCCCATTATTAAATTGCTTAATCTGTAATAGAAAACATCATTTTTCTGAATAATAATGATGTTCAATGCCATCCTCTCTTTTGCTCTCTTATCCACAACAGGGAACTATGCATTTCTCATTGAAATATGCAGAAAAGATAATCCTTTTCTAAGAGTGCTGATTGTTAGTCTAGCATAAGATCTCGTAGCAATTGAATAATTTACTACAGGACCAATAACGTATTTTCTTTATTTTTCTGGCAGGTGAATACATTGTTATGACAGTTTATTTCCACCTCAGAAGGAAGATGGGCTATTTTATGATTCAGACATATATCCCTTGCATTATGACAGTGATCCTTTCTCAAGTTTCCTTCTGGATAAATAAGGAGTCTGTTCCAGCTAGAACTGTATTTGGTAATTTCAATTTATTTCTTGGGTATTTTTGTTCACATTACATTTTTGATGGTGACTCACGGGAAGAACCCTTTGATGTTTCTTAGAAAATACTACACATTAGTATACCAAACCAAACTGAGTAAGGAACTATTTAAGTGCTCATTTCTGACTGGTGACTATAACATACTGCTGCTTGGAGAGATAAGGACAGCCTGTCCCTTTCACCAGTCAGGTGAAAATCAAGTGCAAATGTGGATATAATGTCACTTCCAGTGACATTCTTGAGCTGCTAGCCTAGTGCTGTGTAATTGAATTAAAATTATGTCTAGGTATTAAAATGAAATGCTTAAAATAAAACAAATAAAATTCATGGCTGACTGCACATGAAAGCCTTAGAGGAACCTGCTTTTTAGTGAAAGGGAACAAAATGCAAATGGATTAAACACATTGAATGGAAAGGTATTCTGTGTGTAGTCTCTCAGCTCAGTGTATTCTATGTGTATAGCTTCCATTTTTTTTCTAAACTAGTATTTTTTTTCTTTTTGTTCCTATTATGGTTCCTCTATAGTGTTCTAAATGATAAGCCTCTTGGAATGTACAGGTTTAACATTTTTGTGTTAAATAAGTCTTTTCTACATCTGGGATGCTTTCATGTCACATCACTTATAATTAAATCTATTGTAATAGAGTTATCTATTCTTTATTTTTTTCAACTTTATCAACATCATTCAGTGTTGGAAAAAGAACGGAAATGAAGCGACTTCTTGCAGAATACAGGCATAAGTCTCCTAAGAGATGCTGATCTCTCCTTTTGCCTTTCAGTTAGGATTTAACTGAGGGCACAATATTTTCTATCATGTTGCAGGAAGGCTGGTGAGGAATTTATGCCAGCCTTTCACCTTACTTTGCTAGAACCACAATCCCTAACAAAAACAGTTCAGGGAGCCAGGGTTTATTTTGGCTCATGATCTCAGACAGATTATAAAGCAGACAGTAGCAGCACTGGCCTTGGAAGGAACATCAGAGGTCTGCTGCCACCTCTGTGGAGAGGAAGTAGAGAGCATCAGCTGTTACCAGGACTGGAGTAACTTTCAGAGGCCATCTGTTGATAATCAGTCAGTCATGTCCTACCTCAGAATGATTCCACAATCTTCATCATACTGATACGAGCTGGAATAGAGAATTCAAAATATGACCCACTAAGAACATTGTGGATTCAAACCATAGCACCCCCATCTTCAGAGACAGGAGTGTCTTGTTGTCCTCAAGAAACCTGAAATCCTCCTACAAAGGTATTTCTTCCACATATACCCAGTGACCCTGCAATGCTGACCGTATTTGAATTATAGTTAAAACTCATACAGGGAGCCAGTGTCAGAAGCAGGGTTTGGTTCAAGCTACTTCATAATGTTCTGAAAGTTTAATTAAATGACTGCACATTGCAGTTGTAGAAAATTGTTAACTGCTAAATATAGATGTGAAAATGAAATATAGAAAATTTATCTAATAATTGGTAACATTGAAAGTTTAGAGTTTAAAAACTCAAATATGTCACTTACTTTCTCCATCCATTGAGTTAATATACTTCCCCTTCAAAACTAGTGAAGATTTTTTTTTAAAAAAAAACATTGTTATTAGTTTTTTTAAAGATTTCATACAGTGTCTTCTGATAATATTCACCATCCCCTACCATTCCATCAAATTCCTTCCAGATCCATCCTCCACTTTCTTTCCCTCTCTCATAAAACAAAGCCCACAGAGCCCCACTTGTGCTACCAGTACTTACATTTGTAGGGTTATTCACTGGAGTATGGTGGACATAATAGGGACCATACCCTTAAAGAAAACTAACTCTCCTTTCCCAGGGAGCCATCAATTGTCAGTGGATCTCAGTAAGGAGGTGAGGCTCTTGATCCCCTTCCCACTGGAATGTTATCTTCCAGAAGCCACAGATTGTCAAAAAGAAAAATGTCCTGTGTCATTTGAGTGGTGGATGCCACCACTCAAGTTGTTGGTTAGGTATGTTTCAGAAAACCCATAAATAATACAGGGTGTTAGTTGCCAACCAGAACATGATAGTAAGACAGTATTGCTAGAGACAGAGCACACTTTAGTCACAAGACTTGGAGAAATCATGTTGGTACTGACCAGGAAGATTTCTCCTTGCTGGCTAGCTTTCATGGTAATGGAGGGTGCTTTGTAGATTTCTGGGGAGAAAAGTCATGAACAGTCTTACCCAGCTGTGAATCATGTGAACTACAATGACCAACATAGCAGTATATTCCCATGTGTAGAATGTTTGCATGAATGCTGTGGGGCAACAAACCAATTTCTGATAGCATTTAAGGCTTGCTCTACTGGAGAAAATCCCAGGAGTGAATCTACTATTTCTATTATTACACCAAGTTAATATAGTATTAAACTGCCTCTAAATTTGTGTTTCCATATCCATAGATTAATACAGCTCCTAGACATTATCAGAGTGATTTCTTTGTGCAGTGGTCAGTTAGAAACATGACTGATCAATGTACAAAAATAAATATAGGTGAAGTTTTCATTCAGGGACCATCAAAGAATAACTAAGAACTTGTGAGGGTTTAAGGAATGCTTAATATAAGAATCTATATATTCTATATGCTCTCCTATACATACCTAGCAAAGAGATTTATTTTATTCTCAGTTTCCTTAGTTTTGAAGAATGTATTTCTGGCATATTTCCCCATATAGTTTGAGGTTCTTGGCATTCTTTTTCTTATTTAGCACTCATAATGATGTTGGAGCCTTAATACATTATGTTCAGAGGCGCCAGACAAGGCAAGAGGAAGAAGCTGAGGCTGAGAGTTATATGAAAGTCCTAAAGCTTGTTCTAGCATAGAGTAATCAAGGATGAGGGGAAATGGTTGTATTGGTAAAGTGCTTGCTGTTTAAGCATGCTTGCCTGAGCTTGGATCCTTAGCATCCAAATAAAATCTATGGGCAGTATGAAGTGTCTGTAACCCTGTACTGATGAGGGTGGTTGAAGGGACAGAGACAGGGAGATCATTGGAGCTCACTGGCAAGATGGTGTAGCCAAAATGCTGAAGTCCAGGCCCTGGACTTCAGAAATAAAGGTGGTGGGGAGGACACCTAGTATTTTCCTTGGCATCCATGAGAAAGAACATGTGCAGAAACACATATGGACACATGAACAGACATATACCACACCATGTTCACATACAAATCTTAAAATTTCAGGATCTACACACACGCACACACACTTTTGTCTGTAACTCACATGTTAAAATAAGCTGAATTGCTTTATCTCTTAGGGTTGCTAAGATGATTGAATGCATTAATCTGAGTAAAATATTTGAAAAAAATCCTTAGCACACAACGCATATAATTTTATGATTGTTGGTTGATGAACTTACCATATGAGATTTAGGCTAGTATTGCCTTCCTCGGCTCTCATCTCTCCTTTCACTTACACAGACACAGTGTGCTGGGTCACAGACAGCATCAGGGTGAACAAAACCCTGAAGCAGCACATGTCTGAGAAATAGGATATGTGGAATTCTATCTTGAAATTTGTCTGACTCTTAAGTTTTTTTTTAAATTATTCCATTATGGTTAAACATTAAACACAAGTAGATGCCAGCTGGCATATTGAAATCATTTCTATTTCATTTTCTAGGAATGGCCAGCCAAAAATTCACTCTTGTGTACAGTCTTAGCCTACTCCTTCATTTCCTTTCCCCACTCCTGGGCCAGCCAATATGGTGCATATTCAGCAGTCTAAAATGCACAGACTGGCATCAATACTTGAATACACAAAAAATGATTGTCTTTGAAGTGCTTTCAGGGTGAGATTCTTATCAAAAGAGTTAGCTTTTGTTTCTTGTTGATCAGTGCTTATTCTGCCAAATACTATACCTGATGAAAGGAAATTTGCACATTCCTACATTCCTACTGTTTTCTTCCAATTTGGACACAAGACGGAGAACTTTTAATGTCTTATGAGATGTCAAATTTTAAACTAATTTTGAGCCAATCGTTCTTGTCAGCCAACATTCCCAATTTTGTCAGCATTACAACATAGCTACCATACTCTCTAGAGGGCCATTCCATAAACCAAACAACCATGAAAGAAAATGTAAGACAGCCATATGTAGCATGCTACTGTGTTGGTATAAAGCAGTGTGATTTAAGGGAAGCCATCAACCTGATTCTGAACAACTGAATGTCATTAGCCAATTCATAACCTTAGTATTTTGCTTGTTGAATATCACCTAGAAAATTTTTTCACATGACAGTAGGTGAGATTAAGACTCTTTCATTGGCAGGAAGAAAAAAATCATTCAACCACCCACAACAAGAACGAAGTTTACAGTAACAAGGGGACTCTTGAGCTCCTTGTATTTAAATTTGATTTTACCTTTCATTTGCTTAGCAAAGTATGATCTCTGGAGGCTTTTCTGAATAGCGACTAGTATTGTCATTTGGAAAACACTCTTATGTTTTTACTTGCAAATGCTTTTGGCATCATTTCTGTCACATTAGGAAAAGCCCACCAAATTTGTGGAACACTTTTGAATTCTTGATAGTCCATTACAGATAAATCTTTATGATCAAAAGCAAATACAGTTTATCTTTAAACTTTGTAGCTGAAATTTCTGACATTACTTTAGTAGTTATTTACTTATTTTACAGCCTTTGGGGGGAATTCTGCCTTATTTCTGACGTTTAAAATGAGGCCTAAATGTTTGAAGATCTCTTTCAGGAAAAAGCTGGACAAATTCACTATGTGCCATTGGTGTAGATATACAGTTAATCTACCTGCTTAATGGAATAAGATTTTAAAAATGTACTTCAGGAGAGCTGAAGAGATAGCTTAGGGGTTAAGAAAACCTCCTGCTCTCCTAAAGAACCCATATGGTTTCCAGAATCCACATCAATAGGCTTAGCGTGGCTTTGTCACTCTAGCTCCAGGAACTCCAATGAGCTTTCTGGCCTCTGGCCACCTACATGCATGGCAGACACATCATACATATATGTTCATATACATATGTGTACATATACCCATGCATATAAACATATATATATATAAATATATACATATATATACATATATATATATATATCATAACATCTCAAAATATACTTTTGGCTATGAAAATGCTTAAAATATTAAACAACTTATGTAATACATACTGATGCATAGTTTTAGAATATTCTTTAAAAATTTGTAGCTCGTGTGATACACAGGTGCTCCAAATTTCCATCTTCTAGTAACCAACAGCTTAGGGAATGACTGGAATTAGAGAAAAAAGATTGGACACAGACAATGATTTTTGTTTATTGGGCATCATTTATGATGCATCTAGAACTACATGGCTGGTGATCTCTGAAGCAATATTCAACATGATGCCTCCTAAGGACAGTCTACTCAGTCTAACTGGAAGCTGGGTGTGCCGATTTTTTCCCAATGGCCTTCTATCTTGAAATTTGTCTGATTCTAAGTTTGCTACTTATTCCAATATGGCTAAGCCTTAAACATGAATACAAATCAGCTGTCATAATGAAATCATTGCTTTTGTTTTTCAGGCATGATCTTAAGCTACTCTTACACTTCTCTCTAGGGTCATATATGTGGAACAGTAAAGGGATGGTCCAAGGTACAATATATCAGAGTCTAAGTTGAAGATACAGTATTATTGTTTCTTCAAGTCAAAATATGATTACTCCTTTATTGTTGCAAAAAATCCTATATTTTTCAGTTGAACACAGATTAATTCCCTTTCAGCTGGTGTTGGCATGGATTGACATATAAAGTAAAGATGCCTTCATCACTGTCATCATCACCATCATTTATGCTACCACCATCACCATCATCCATAGGTACCTGGATGTATCGACTTCAGGACCTGTTCTAGGAGTTATGTAGAATGAGTAAAAATGGATATAGTAAGTCCTCCGGGAATTTCCAGAGTAACCTAGATAATACTGATTAAATAAATATAAGTCCATGAAAATAGGGAAAAATATTAGCACCTTCTGTAGTTCTAGTGACACACGGTGTTTTTCTACTAAAAATGGAGGATAACCTTTTCTCTAGGTTAAGACAGCACTTTTTCTGAAAGTTTTATTCACAAAAACAATTAATGGAAGAAGGGCTCTATTCTTATTGCAATTATTCTGCTTCAAGTTGTATACTGATGTTTGGTAAATGCCCACATTTGCTAAATTGTTCCAGAAGTACATTTAGCCAGAGCATATTTGTAGTTTTGATAAACAATGAATGCATTATTTAGAATATTACAGTCATTTAATGATAAGAACTTACACACGACTTTTGATTTTGCTGACAATAATTATCAGTGGTAATGGGTCTTGTTTACCTGGGATATTCATGCTCCCATTTTGAAGGCCAATGAATGTGCCCAGCTTTCCATTCTTGTCTGAAGTCACTGTTTCAATGAGTCATCATTCGTGGGTGGTCTATATATTGATTCCTTAGGTGTATTGTTTCAGCTTCCAATATAGAATCAATAAAAGTTTTACATAGTTTTATTTTTGTAGTAAACTTCGCATGTGCAAAGAAGTCCTAATAACTTTTCCAATATTGAACCAAGTCACACTGAACAGATGATTAAAAGAGCCAGGAACTGAACATATCTCTTTCTCACTACAGAACCTGTGCTGATTTCACTGAAGCAGAAGGATCAAACCCTCTATCAGAGGTGGTGGGTTTCACTTAGTAGTGACTTTGTCAACCTCATCCCACCTCATTCTTTTGGGTTAGCTTGTCTTTTTGTAGACATAGCAGTAAAATGCTTTATGTCTTTGCTTTTTTTACATTAAAGGAATAACCACAGTCCTCACGATGACCACCCTAAGCATCAGTGCCCGGCATTCTTTGCCCAAAGTGTCCTATGCAACTGCCATGGATTGGTTCATAGCTGTCTGCTTTGCTTTTGTATTTTCGGCTCTTATTGAGTTTGCTGCTGTCAACTATTTCACCAACATTCAAATGCAGAAAGCCAAAAAGAAGACATCAAAGCCTCCACCAGAAATTCCAGCTGCTCCAGTGCTGAAAGAAAATCATCCAGAAACTTCTCTCCAGGTATTTCACTTCATCTCCTTCCTTCTAAAGTTTTAGCTGCTTGGTCAATTTTTTGTTGTAGTTAGAAAACAGAGAACATGAAAATATCAATGACAATTTCTAAGAATGGAAGAAGTCTAGCAAAATATAAAATGGTAACTTATGCATTGATAGTTTTGCTATTTTTTAGTTATTTGACAATATCATATGATGTGTTTTGATAATATTTACCCCATTCTAACTTCTCCCAGGTCCAACCCATGTTCCCTATCCACCCAACTTTGTATCCTTTTCTTTTTTAAAAGCCATCATGTACAATTTGGGTTGCTTGTATATTCTATGATGTGTGATTTTTATTGGAACTTGATCTACTTACCAGGGCATACATTTTAAAGATAATTCCAACTATTCCTCTTCCAGAGACTATAAATTGCCAATCCCCTTTCCCATGTTGGGATTTGGTCCTCTTTGAGTTTGTACAGGTATTGGGAGTTCGTATGTGCAGCCTTTACTGCTGCATCCAGGTGGCAGTGTTTCCTGGTAGTCATTTATCACCTTGGGCTCTTGTACTTTTCCCATTCCCTTAGTCATAATAACCCCTGGGTCTTGGGGAGAAGAGATGGTGATATAGGTATTCCATATAGGGCTGAGCATCCAATGTCTCTTATTCTTTGCACCTTGGCTAGTTGTGTGTCTCAGTGTTAATCACCACCTACTGAAGAAAGAAGTCTGTCTGATAAAGGTTGAGAGCTGCGTGGTGGAGTTAACCAGTCATGGGGAGTCAGTTTAACACTGTGGACATAGAACAGAATATAGGGATTATGACCTATCTAGTTACAGGTTCTTGACCCCAGTAATGGTGCAAGTATAGGGGTTTTTTCTTCATTTTCCCCTTTTCCTCCTCTCTTTTTATTTAGAAACAATCTTGTTTTACATGTCAATCCCAGCTCCCTCTCCCCCCCTCCCCTGCCCCCCACTGACTCCCATCCCACCTCCTTTCTGCTCCCTAGGGAGGGTGAGATGGGGGATCTTTGAAGTCTGTCACATCATTTTGAGCAGGGCCTAGGCTCTCCCCCATGTGTCTAGGCTGAGAGAGTATCCCTCTATATGCAATGGGCTCCCAAAGTCCATTCTTACACTAGGAATAAATACTGATCCTGTGTAGGTGTTTTTCATCTTGTGGACTGTGCTTTAAATCTTATCAGAAAGTGGTTGGTTACTCCCATGACATTAATGTCACCCACTGAGGGAATTAGCATATTTTCAGAGTCCAAGGGTTCATAGCTGGGAAATATGAATATTTGGGGGGTCTATCGGACCTCATTGACAAGGAACTCTGTAAGAGATAACCCATTCTTGACAGTCAACTTTTTTATTTGTTATCCTGTGTCTGGTAAAGGCTTTGTCAACCCATTATAGAATATTTAAATTATTTTTTGCACACACATGTATATATGTATGCATGTATGTATTTTACGAGGCTTCTACAATTCTAGGCTTCCAAATGACTTTTTTTTTAAAGGTCTTTAGTGTCAGCTATCTTTCTCCCTATACCCACCCCTCCCAGGCACTACCCTAAACTATAATTGTATTTTACGAGGCTTCTACAATTCTAGGCTTCCAAATGACTTTTTTTTGAAAGGTCTTTAGTGTCAGCTATGTTTCTCCCTATACCCACCCCTCCCAGGCACTACCCTAAACTATAACTCTTGTTCCTGATATATAGATATTTTAATGCATTATATATGGACTTAAAAGCTAAATAATCTATACATAGCCTTGATGCATGGCATAGGCTATTTTTTGTTTGAAAGTTCTTTCAGTGTTAAAGGTATTTTTCACAGAAATGACTAAATGGAACATATATGATAAGAGGAAGCTGTTAATGGTGTTGAGGGAGCTGAAAAGATCACTTCTATAGAGTTTATTGACCAAAGTAAAATGCTAGTTCTTCACATGGCTCTGCATTTCATATGGGATTGCTCCCTGTATTACAGAAAAAATAATCCTAACAACAAAATGATACATAATTATAGCTGAAGTACATTCAAATGAATAATTCATTCTTTAAAGGACATGTCTAAGAGAATATAGAAAACATAACAAAAACACCTTTTTCATATGACTTATCAAAGATTCTTTTTCTTTTCCACATGGATTCTTATTGTATAAAAGCATTAAAATGTACAAGAACATGAATAATCAGACAGACTTTTTCTCCCCCTTTCTTCCTCTTCATCTCTCTTCCAGTATTCTGTTATGTTCCTCGGACTCTCTTTTATTTCCTTTCCTTCATCTTCTTTTTCGTATACATAGACAGTTCTCTGTGGTTTTGTACTCTAGCCAACTGTAATTTCCATGAATGACACTATAAACTGCTTGGTCTGCATTTATCCAAACCAAAATGTAACAGAAATCATCAACCGGTTTCTCCTCTACTAAGTAGTATCTCATCCCTTCATTTATTCACTTATCCATTCAAAAATATATATTTAATGCCAGTTATGGGCCAGGCATTGCACAGAAGGTGAGAATCAACAATGTATATATATTTAAAGCCAGAAAATATCTCACACTATGGAAATTTCATCTATTTCTATGTGGCAAGGGAGTGGAGACAGACAGTTTCTTTTAATGCAAGTAATGAAACACCTGGAGTATTAAATGGGGATGCTATGAAGGATAGGGAAGCCTTTAGAGATTCAAAGTCTATCTTTGCAGTGTTAACCCATTCCATGCCTTCAGTCTTGGTTCTGCTCCCAAGACTTCAGTCTCCCACAGTCTCCAGATGCTATAAGAGTATCTAAGGAAATGAATGCTTTTCATCAAGTAATTTAAATAGTTGGGATTTTCTTCTAAGTGAATTCATCAAGATTTTCAAATGCTTCGAATGCATTTTTCACATTTTTTCAGTTTTAAAAGTGACTGTTCAAGCTTTACTCTTTTACCACTTCACATAGGTAAAGTTACAGCTTCTGTCTTTTGTTGCTGTTCCATTGTCTTTTGCTTACCATATTGACACTGTAGAATCTATTTCTTGCACTTTTAAGTCACTGAATCTCAGGTTTATTTTACTGTTTATTATTTTCTGAAGATTGATTTATGAGTTAATTTATGTCTTTCTGCAGTTTACATTTGTTACATTTTTCAAGATACTTGAGTATTGCAAAGTAATTTATTTTCATGCCTTCTTATTTAAAAATAAGGTTTTTCCTAGTGAATGAAGATCTTTTCTGTATAGAATTCTATGATGCATAATTTAGAGATTAATATTGTCAGAATTACTTGCTATATATTCTGGAGTAACATTGTTTTCCCTTTTGAGATAAGAATATAAAGATAATATTAAAATTTCTAGATGTGATTTTTTTATTTAACTCTGCTAATTATTGTATTGCATGTCTTCAGAAATATTGATGTGAATAACATTTTATTGTCCCCTGATTTATTATTTATAATTAAATTATAACTTTGTAGTTAAAGTTATTATCTTTAGCAACAAAGTTGATTTTACTTAATCACTGTTATTTCACTTAATCCCAGCACTCGGGAGGCAGAGGCAGGCAGATCTCTGTGAGTTTGAGACTGGCCTGGTCTACAGAGTGTGTTCCAGTACAGTCTCCAAAACAATGCAGAGAAACCCTATCTCGAAAAAAACAAAACAAACTTGTTTTGGGTTACCTCCTGGGTTACCTCACTGAGAATAGATTCTTCTAGTTCCATCCATTTGCTTGCAAATTTCAAGATTGCATTGTTTTGTTTATTCCCCCGCTGAGTAGTACTCCATTATGTAAATGTACCATATTCTCTCTATCCATTCTTCAGTTGAGGGGCATCTAGGTTGCTTCCAGGTTCTGGCTATTACAAATAATGCTGCTATGAACATAGTCAAACAGATGTTGTATGAATGTGCTTCTTTTGGGTATATGCCTAAGAGTGGAATTGATAGCTCTTGTGGTTAGACTGATTCCCATTTTTCCAAGGAATTGACACACTGATTACCAAAGGGGCTGTACAAGTTGGCATTCCCACGAGCAGTGGAGGAGTGTTCTCCTTTCTCCAAATCCTTTCCAGCATACACTGTCATTGGTGTTTTTTGAATTTAGCCATTCTGACAGAAGTAAGATGGTATCTCAGAGTTGTTTAGATTCGCAATTCCCTGATGACTAAGGATGTTGAGCACTTTCTTATGTGTCTTTCAGCCATTTTAGATACCTCTATTGAGAATTCTCTATTTAGTTCTGTACCCCACTTTATAATTGGATTATTTGGTGTTTTGGAAACTAGCTTCTTGAGTTTTTTGTAAATTTTGGAGATCAGCCCTCTGTTGGATTTGGGTTGGTGAATATCTTTTTCCATTCTGTGGGATGCCATTTTTGTCTTATTGACTTGTTCTTTACCTTACAGAAGTTTTCAGTTTCAGGAGATGCCATTTATTAATTGTTGATCTCAGTGTCTGTGCTACTGGTGTTATGTTTAGGAAGACGTCTCCTGTACCAATTCGTTCAAGGGTACTTCCTATTTTCTCTTCTAAGAGGTTCAATGTGGCTAGATTTTTGTTGAGGTCTTTGATCCATTTAGACTTAAGTTTTGTGCATGGTGATGGACATGGATCTATCTTCAGTCTTCTATATGCCAGCATCCAGTTATGCCAGCACCATTTGTTGAAGATGCTTTCTTTATTCCATTGTATAGCTTTAGCTTCTTTATCAAAAATCAGGTTTTTGTAGGTATGTGGGTTAATATCAGGGTTTTCAACTGGATTGCATTTATCTACCTGTATATTTTTGTGCCAGTATCAAACTGTTTTCATGACTATAGCTCTATAATAGAGCTTGAAGTCAGGGATGGTGATGCCCCCAAAAGTTCAATTATTGTACAGGATTGTTTTTGCTATCCTAGGTCTTTTGTTTCTCCATATAAATTTAAATATTGTTCTTTCAAGGTCTTTGAAGAATTGTGCCAGTATTTTGATGTGGGTTGCATCTGTAGATTGCTTTTGGCAAGATTGCCATTTTTAC